GCGCTGCTGTTGTTGTTGTTGTGATGGTATCGAGGGTGCAAGTACGGCATCGGCGAAAAGAAGAAAAGAAAAGAGAAAATCGAAAAGACCTCCCCTTCCCTCCCCTCCCCTCCTCCACTGTTTCTCTGCCCTCGTCTTATCCCCGTCTCCCGCTCGTACTCGAAATCATCACCCGCCCGCAAAAAGCAACAACCTCGACCTCGCACACGAGAGTCAGGTATAGGAATCTGGGGACAGAGGGGACATGTCCACCCTTCGCGAGCAAACCCATCCCGGCGCCATCCGAGCAGCAAAAAGATGCACCGGGGGAAAATCCTCTACACCCGAATGAATGAATGAATGAATGAATGGAAGGGAGCAAGGAAGGGGCGAGATGCCGCCGGCTGCAGAGGGGACGAGGAATTCTCGAGACCCTGGGCCGGAGTATCAAGCCCGAGATTCTGTCGAGGCTCCAGCGAGGACCGAAGGACTCGGGCTCCGTCTGCTGGGCCGAAACCGTAACCGGGACCGGGCTGCGGCGACCTTTAGACGAGAGGATTGATGAGGAGGGGCAGCGAGGGCGCGAACGGCGGGGCCCACGCACATGTGAAGAAGAGGGGGTCGTAGACGATGATAGGGGGCCATCGGGGGCGGGGGCGGTGGAGGACCCGGTCGCCGGCAGTATTACCGGCAACAGCCTTCCACGTCTCTGGCCGCTGAGTGTTGGATGAACTCATCATGCGCACCACAAGCGCACTATCCACCGCAGCGATCGACAATTAATAGGCAGCGAGGCGAAGCGCGAGTGTGCCGATAAGCTGGTCCAAGCTCTCGAGAACCTCCAGCACTGGACTGGGGCTGGAGCTGGAGCTGGAGCTGGACTGGGCTGTCCCCAATCTGACCGGCCTCCCGGCTGAAGAATCTGCGCTCGTGCTCCCGATGGAGCTGCTGCTGCTGCTGAAGGGTGAATGATTTCAGATGTGGCTATGTTTGTAAAGCGTGGGATTCGGGAGGACCTCGGGAAAGCTATTTTAGTGGATTCCCGAAAGTGCCGAGCGACATTGTAGTGCACGAAGGGCGACGCGTCGCGTCCAGGAACAGCTCGACGATGAGCCGAAGCTCGTCGGCAGACAGCGAACCCGGAGGAATATAAAATCCGCCCTTATCTCTCCACCCCCGCCCGCCCCCCGGTCTGTACAAAACATATCCACTGCTCCACCCCTCGTCTAGTCTCCTACAGTCGCCTGAGCTACGCTGCTTTGCTTTGCTTTGCTTTGCTTTGCTATGCTGTGCTCAGCTCAGCTGTTGCTGCTGTGCTGCTGAACTGTCTGAAGCTCCCTCCTCCGACTGGTGGCCATGTCCATAGCCCGACGAATAGCCCTTACGGTGAACGGACTGGGCTGATCCGCTTCCCCGAGCACGCAGCGCGAACAGCGTTTGTCTGCTCGCATGATTACAAATCGCACGCCAAAGCTCCGGCAAGATCGCAACGTCGGAGGCATGACATGCCGACGTTGCAATGGCGTCGTCCGTCGCCCATCACTCTCGCCTCAGCGCAGTGGCAGGCAGGCAGGCAGGCAGGCAGCAGCTCGATCGCAGAGCTTCCAGTAAGGCAGGCAGGCTCGAGCATATCGCAAAAAGCGCGATTCAGATCATGGCCCCCGATGAGAAGCGGGGGTTTAAATGCAAAGCGAGGCGATAATCGACCGCGATGAATTAGCCTCTGAGCTCCAGTGTCAAGGAATCACCGCTCCATGATTTGACATCCCACGTTGCGGCTGACGTACGCCGTCCCGAATGCTTGTCCTGAACTCAATCAAGACCGTGACAGATGTTGGCCGAAAGGTGCCCGCCCTGCCCTCATGTCCAACTAGGCTCGACTCGGCTTTGTCTAGCCTCCTCAATCCTCCACAATCCTCCGCAATCCTCCGCGGCCTCGCACATCCGCCCCTGCGAGCGACTCGAGTACAGCGGTGGGTGCGAGTCGGTTAATGCTAGTTAATGCCGGTGACGAAGAGTATCAAGCCAGCCTCGGGCCGATTGGCACTAAACTGGCGCACTAACAGCCTCGAAACCTCGATGACGTCTGCTCGAACGACAACTCGTCACGAAACCATCTGACGGAGTGGTTGCATTCCATCGCTCGTCCGCCTTCGGTTTCATCCCCGTACGACTCGCTGGGCCTTCCCATCCTTTTCCCCACAACTCTCGGTGCCCCCTTTTGTTTACAGCCTTTGCACCTTCGTCGACGCAGACTCGCCCGCTCTCTGTCTGCCTGCCTGCCTGCCTGCCTTCGCACATCTCCCCTCCGCCTCTTCGTCTACTTCCCGTGAATCTGTCACCTCAGTAGCCAATCGAGGCGCCCGACTGTTCCCGAGCTGCTGCTTCCGCAAATGCGCGAGGCAGTGGAGTGCTTAACGCAGATGCGGGCGCATATTCCATCTCGCAGCAGCTAAAGCGAAAGGTCCGGCCCCCGATCTCAATGATTATGCTGAATAATTGCGGATGAGTGAGATCTGTCTGTCACGTGAAAGGACGGGTGTGTATTGACAACGATGGCTACGGAAAACTTTCCTTCAGTCGGAGCCGGAACATGTCTCATGCTCCGGACTCTCGCCTTGGCTTTGACCGTGGCCATGATCACAGCCGTTCTCGCTACGGTAGTGCCGCCTGTCCCACCGGCGCGCGCAGAGAGCGACAGATGAGCGACGACGAGCGCAGCGATCGGGCTAAGGGATCGAGTCTACGCAGTACCACGATCATCGATGGAAACGAGATCGGAGTTTGACTGGTGCGACGCGACCGCAAAGCAAAGAGTGTGACTTGCGTTCACTCCGCCCTGCGTAACTGTCTCCCAGCTCGCTGAGCGCAGTCTGACAAGCGGGCGGGCCACATCGGAACGAAACGAAACGAAACGAAACGATCGATCGATGGGGACCATTCGGATCCCGCTTTCGGCCCACCGAACGCAGTGATGAATGAAAGGATCGATCGCTGATGACGCTGAGCTCACTCTCGCCACTCCGCCGTGGCATAGCTAGCGCACACCCGAGTCGGTGTCGAGACATTGATGATCTCTCGACCGGACACGAAACAACACACCTACTACTTCGAACCGACCTGGACGAAGCGCAGCAGCAGCGCAGGCGGTTGGGCAGGTGGTTCCATGTCTGAGGTGGCCGCGGTGGCATCGGACAAAACCGCCCTCGTCTCGATTAGCGCGTGAACTCGCTCGGTGACATGGCCCGGTCGTCACGAGACCATCGGCCTCGTCCCGACTCGCGCAGCGACTGTTGTTGTTGCTGGCGCTGCTGCTTATATAACGGACTTGGTCGAAGCGCGGGCGGCTCTTCGCATACATCGCAGGCGCGAGCTTTCGGTTACATACGGCCTGGACTTGATTTCTCGGACAAGCGCCAGTCTACTCATTGCCGCCTCGAATCGTAAGCAACACTCCTTGTACAGGACGGCGACAGCCCCGAGCCCCATGTCACGAGACGACCCGAATTAGAAGCCGGGCCATGCTCGCGCTCGCCCTGCCCCCGCATGGGAACGGGGGGAAGGGGGAAGACTATTGATCGCCTAGAAACGAAGCGGGGAATCGTCAAAGTAGGCAGCTGCACATATTCACTGCATGAATGTGTGAGTGTATCGCACAGCTGGAAAAGTCGTACAGATCCGGATTCGCGCCTACAATGCGAAAACCTCGCGCCGATTTGAGACCGAACGCGGTTGTGTCATGTTGCGAACGCAAAGGTTCATGACAGGGTGTGATCGAACACCATCCGCTTGCTGTGAAACGACCTGGGCATGTTTCGCACGCAACTGCCGTCCGGAAACGGCCCCTCCTGATGCGATTGTCCTTTCAAGGGAATTTACACGACAAAATTTCCGCGATGTGCAGTTCGCCGCACATCGCATCGTGGGATAGTGGCCGGAAGAAACTAGGCCCCTCGCATATGCACTGTAATTTCCACCCATGCCGCTGCCCATAGATTCACTGATGCCGCTCGTAACTGAAAAGTGTTCAATTCGAGTTTCCCGATCATTCGTAGTACAACGCATACCGTATACAAGCTGTCTTCTAGTGATTCCACTCACTATGCTATGAGTGTCCAAGTTACTGTGATCAAGAGATGCGGCGAAGGGTAAATGTCTAAGGTGATATTCACAACCTCGCATGATTGTCGGACCCGAATTCTCATACCGTATACACCATAAGCTATTGGTGTAATCAGGAACGTGCTTGCATCAACAAGCTAGCTTAATCGATTTAGCGCTCTTCAAAGTGACTCGGTTCGGACCTCCGCTTGATGATATCTTCGCCATCCGAACACGAGGATCACACTTGTCAAACCCAACAAAACGACCTTACAGCTATTGAAGGCTCATGTGTCCAGCCCAGCCAGCAACATAGACGTCAACTGACCAGACTCAACCAGTTCCTTCAAGTTGCTACTTCTTCTCCATGCGTCAATCAACCAGCCTACAAGAGCCAACTTGTAGCAACACCACTGTCTCCTCGTTGACTCGAATCACCAACTTCACTCATCAGCCCATTTCTACTGACTATCTGTCACACCTACCAAGCCTACAGATCAACAGTATAGAGATCAACGTATGGAATTGAATCACTACCTTAACTTACTGCATACTTACACACATCGCCGACTACGGAAGAAGATTACCCACAATATCTGTCACAGTTACTTCATGCAGACATCGAGTGCCCGAAATTGCTCTACACAGTCATTCATGTCGATCGCATGATTCAAAATAGCATCTGACGCACTACAAACGTACAAAAATAACCCTTATTCAAACGCACGACTATCCGAATAACCTGAGGCGAAGTGTTCAAGCGATAACCAATAACCAAAGTGCATACAGGCCAAACAGGCCACTGCATTCAAAACAATCAAAATCTACACGAGGAAATTGCTCGCTTAAAAAGACATAATCAATGGGAATGCACCATGTGCTAAAAATTTCCATTGTGCTGCACGCACGTACACCGGTTTAATAAACAGGGAGGATTAAATCTTTATTTGCACAAAGGATTTCTCACAAATTTGCTCTTACAATCTGCTGGCTGGCAGTAAAATACAGGGACCTCTCTTCAATGTCAGAAATTACAATAAGATACAAAGTGCACATCTGTACAACTAGTGGCCGTAAAAAATGGAAGACCTACACTCATGACTCATGTCTGCTCTTAGAAAATTCAAAACCCAGCGAATGGGAGAGCACATAAGATAACGTTGTTAATGAGCAAGCTTGCAGCACCAATGGGAGTGGGCAAGAACTTGCAAGTGGTCGCAAGGGTATTGGGGTTAAATCTGATATAGCTTGTGTACACTGAACGCACTCGCAAGCTGGTACAGTCCAGATCTGCTTCCCGAAAGTACACAGGATTTGATTCACCAACAGCAGGGCACACAGTACCAAAAGCTTCGCTATAAGCTGAGACAAAGCCCGCCTCTGCCCTCGGTGAAACTTGAACTTCCTTTCGTCCGGGAGAAAAATCCAAACGAGCTCCATGCTTGTAAGAATCAGAAACCTCTATAAAGGAGACCGAAAGAGGACCAAAATTTAGGCCCACATCACCACAGTAAGTGACATACGCGAACCTCCTGTAAAGCCTCGAGTCTAAGATTAACAAGGTGTGTTGAACTCTCGCACCGAGCCTGCTCAGCTTGCTTCTCATTATGCAAGCGCAGGAACACTACACCGCGATTCCGCCGATGAAGCAAACCCCTCAACGCGAACCGATGGGTTTCCTCCGTAAACAGGTGCACAAGAAGACTTTTGCTGTGAAGAGAGCGAAGAGAGCACGGAAGGTGCAGGAGGGATTCTTTGGTGAATATGAGTAAACTGTACGTCGTGAATAAGTGGGTTCCCGGAGCGGCTAGGAGGGGAGCCACAGAAATATGGTGGCGAACATCCAAAATTTGAAGAGTCGCCGTAACCACTCTGCAGTGAGAAGAAGAAACACGTCAGACCTTCCAGTCGTGGCCATTTTAATCGCTAAAACTTTCAAAGTAATATGCAAAAGTGGAATACTCTATCGACGAACAAATCTCAGTTTGTGACAACAAGCTGACACAAATCGGATTGAAAAGTACGTACTCTGCTCAAAAATATATCAAGAATCTCGAATCCTGCTTCTCCATCCGCGCGGACTTGAGTAGTATGACTGCAGAGGCACAAAACAGAGTTAGACTTGGAGCTCAGGCACGCATGACCACCGTCGCTAATCGGAGCTAGATCAATAACAGCGGTCACGACAGCAACGCAATATCCATCGATCGGAACCGCAAATATGCTTTGGAATCAATACACTCATGCAAACAGCACAGGAGGGAAATATGACACACACCTCCGTCGTCTGCGGGAGGGCTTCAAAAAGTCGGGGGCGGGACATGAGACATTGGTTACTCGGCGAGGCTTCGGGCAAATAACCTCCTCCTCACATATGTCATTGCGGAAACCTGTTCGTACTCTTCGTCTCTCATTCATCTCGGCTCTGCTCTCTAAGTTATTCAAAGCAGCCAGCTGCTGCACACGCCCCAGGTTTCTCGCACAGATCTCCAGCGTTCTAGACTGTGTAACCCCTGAAAATGAAGGGTACCCCGCTTTCCTACGATTCCGCTTTGGCTACTTCGTAGCCTCCTCGGCTGTCACCTGTGCCTGCCAAAGATGGTTCACAGTCAATATGAACCACAAGGTGATAGGCTTTGCTCCTTCTGCCGGTGTTTGAAAGAGTCTCAAACAACCAAGGCCTCCTATACAAGTGGATGGTTAAGCACCATAAACAGGTCACAGGCCCGACCCAGCTGTACACAGATCTGCACTATAACCTTACGACTCGAGGCATACCACGAGCCCCCTATACAAGTGGAGACTACCACCGGAAGGTTCAATCTACAAGCCAGACAATCCCCACTTTACAGCATATTCCTCCGTGTCCTTGATGCGCCGCACACTTCCTAGCTGGAAATCTGAGACATAGCAGACGATAATTTAGAAAAATCCACAAGACGTTGTAAGCGTGCGTGGAAACTAGGCAGACAAAGGAACGCCGAAGCTGTACAGCAAGACTAGTTTGAATGCGCCTCCTCTCAACGACTCCGAAAGATTTGAAATTTGAGACTACCGAAGTGCGCTGATCTTACTATCGGTGTTAAGTTACACAAGGAGACGAAGAAAAGCAATCCCAGAAGTCACATAAGATGCTCGATACCCACACCTCGGGAGTTCTACTTGTTACAGAGACAGATCGGGACTCTAATCATGTCAAAACAGGATCAGTGGGAGCGCGAAGGAACAAATATTTTCTATCTCGAACAACCCTGGAGAAGTAGAGTCCAGACGGGGCAGATTTTTTCCTCCCTCTCTATACTCGGACTACAATCGACGACAGCCTCACACGACCGCACGTCGCTCGGGAGTGTACACCAAAGTAAAAGTAAGAAACTGAAGAGAGAGAGACAGGAAAAAAAACTCCGGATTCGGAGAGAGAAGGACTCGCAGAGCGCTGAGAGAGTGAAATGGCCTTCTTGACCTTGACGTGGCTATGGCAGCTTCAGAAAGGTGAAGGGGGTGACACTAGACCACTGAAACGGCCGGCTGCACTGAAGACTCTCTAAGAACAGGAAGAACATGTCACCACTTCCGACCACAAACTGTCTGGCAACCGAAGATTACAGCCATGTACCGTTCGAGCATACGCGCTTCCTTAACGCACAACCGATCAAGAAGATCACGACTACCAAAATGTCACCGATCGTAACTTTCGATCCCAAAGGCGGCAGGCGATCGGAGGAAGAGAGCAAGTAGAGCGGGAAGTACCATGCCACGGTGCGACGACGGGTGGTAGAGCAGTGAGCCAGAGCCAGGCACGCCCGGGCGAGGCAGCCTTCTTGCTCGCTCGCGAATGACTTGCTTGCTTGCTGGCTGGCTGAGTGCTTACTGGCTTGCGAGCAAGATATCAAAGGAGCGAGGATAGAGAGCGTGGAGAAGATATGATATGCGTCGAAACTAAAGAGGAAGCGCAGAGGAGTTGGTTCCGGAATCAGCAGAAAGATCTGCTTTGAGCAGGCGGGGAGGAGAGGGGGGATCTGCGGAGAAGGAGGGGGCGAGAGGAAGGAGGAGGAGGAGGAGGCGGAACAAAGAACGATGAACGGGGAGCGGAGTGTGAAAGAACGCACGCCCTCTGCGGCGATGAGAGCTGTAGAAGAGCTCGAGCCGGAGCAGGAGCAGACGCTGCCAGCGCGGGTGGGTCAGGCAGTTCGCTGCGGGCAAGCAAGCGAGCGAAGGAGCAGGAGGAGGAGGATGATGATGATGATGATGGGGGCGTGGAGGGGAGGAGGAGGAGAGGGGCAGGAGACGCGAGGAGAAAGATGATGGGGTGGCTGGGGTGGGAGCCGGGTTGAAATCAGCATCCGCAGCCAGCGAAAAGCATGTACGTGCAGCAGCGGGCGGGCCGAAGGAAATGGCGAATGCCGAACCGAGCAGCTCGATCCATCGACAAGATATGGCCAGCCAGCCAGCGAGAGCCAGCCCCAGCCCCAGCCCCCCGCCCAGAACGATCGCGAGCAGGCAGGCAGGCAGGGCGAGCGCAGTGAGTGCGAGCGACGACGAACGACGAAAGCCCCGAAGCGCGGGTGGGGGGGGGTGGGGGTGGCCGCTGCGGCTGGTGGGACGCAGGGCAACGCAAAGGCGACCCGGCGGGTTGGAGTAGGTGGGAAAGGGAACCGCGCCACATGGCATGCGCCACGCGCGCGCTCTAACGGTTTCCGTCAACCGCCTGCGCCTCGTCCGCCTTTGCCCTAATGGACTTCCGTCTTCCCCCAGTCCCCCAACGGCACTCCCGACCCCGGCGTTCCGTCCGCCCCGCCTCCTGCCTCCCGCCCCGACCCGGCGCTGTCCCGTTGCGGGACCGACGCATTTAGGGCTGGCGCCGCACGCCGGACCGGACGAATCACCCGGGTACTCGGTGATCTCGACCGTTTCTTCCAGACGCAAGTACGCGGACCCGAATTGCGGCCGATGAATGTTCGACTGAAGGAAGCAAGAAACGCCGACCGACCTCTCGCTGCCCTTCCCTTACCTTGCGCTTCAAATCTCCGGCTGACCTCATTGTTCCCCGCGACCGCCTTTCGGGCACGTAATTAATTATAATCCCCTTCTAGACCTCTCGGCCCTCCGATCGGCGATCCGACGACGGCCGCGTCTGGGGGGTGCCATATGGAGCCTTTGCGGGAAAGGAAATAATTCTTTTCGGCCCCAGGTGGACGCCACTGGCAAGATCGAACGCATACAAACAAGATCTCGCCCGACCGCGAGATCCGAGATCCGACGGCCCGCGTGGCCGGGCGCTCCCCTTTTCGGAGGTGTGGAACCTACGGACCCGAGAACGGATTAGGTGAGGTGTATTGAAGAGCATGCTGCGTCGGATTGACTTTTTGTGTGGAGCAGACACTCTTCGTTTGTGGTCGCTCGCGCGGTTCGATCCGCCTGCCCGGGCTCGAACTCCGTGCTCGAGTTTGGCTGGATGGGATTCACGGGAAGGTATAGACCCCGCCGCTCGATGGATGGATGGATGTGGGTCGGGCTCCCACGGCGACCTGGTGCCCAAAGAATCAAACTCCAACTCCATGTTGTAGTCCGGTGTTGTGGTTCCACGTTCGGATCGCAAGCGACAGCGAATGTGGTGAGCTCGGTGACTTGGGGTTGGATGGGCCCGTGACTTGGGTTGGGTTGGGTTGCGCTGTGGACTGAACCAGGGGCAGAACGACCGGGCGAGAACGTGCCCGTACGCCTCACTGGAGAGTCAACACGTCAAGACCACAAACGACGAATGAAAGGTTGAATGGAATACGGTCGGGCTGAGATGCTCGCTTTCCGAACCTTGACCGGTGCCCGACTCTTTTAACCTGAGTTACCTCCCCTTCGATGGACTTGATTTCGGCTAAATTTCCTTCTCTTGAATTTGAACTGAGTGGCGCACTTCCATAAGGGTCGTTGCTTTGCTCTTTTTTTTATGTCTCCGGCCCTCCTTTCCTTCGAAGACTGTGCAAAGTTGTGGGCATATTGATTTTCATAATCTCTGACTGGAAAAATCAACTGTTCCTTTTACGCACCAAAGCTTTCAATTCCAGAGTGGAAAAGTATTTGTCTTGGGAATATCTGGACAGTCAACCCATGCTGCACCATGATTTTTCTTTGCACTCGAATTTATCCAAAAATCAAAATATAGATTAATATACCTTTCCATTTATAGTGAGACAACTCATCCACATTAGAAACGAAAGACTCGCTGGAAAATCCAAATGTTTGTTAGCGAATACCAAACTTAGCATAAAAGTTTTTTGGAAAATACTGTATATCTCATTCTTTTAAATGATATTAATAACACGTTTGAGTTTTATCAATACCGATATGTTAGGCATAAATAATTAATCTTTGCATTAAAGTATTTGTTATTTTGGCACAAAATTTTAAGCCAGATATCGATATGAAAATTCAAGTTTTTTTTTTATTCACTAGTTAATTTGATCCTAGTCTCCTTGATTGAAAATATCTTTATGATTTAAAAACATAGCTGATAAAGTAAAATTCCAAATTTTAGGATACTCATAAAATTATTTAATCTTGTATTGATGCAAGATCAAAGCTCTTTAATTGAAATGGTCCAGTATGTGCATCGTTGTGTGTGTGTATGTGTGCGGAACAGTCTTTTAAGATTTTGAATATAATAATTTTTTTATCATTTCTTTGGTTTTTACTCAATATATTTTCAATAAATTCATAAAAAATCTTTTAGATATTATTCTAACAATCATCACGCTTAATCTTCAATTATAACAGAATATAATATGATATATGAAAATTTAACTTTATTTCTCTAGAAAAATTCAAGTATACGAAGGTGACATAGGAAACAGCGGCTTGTGTAAATTATCCTTGAAATCGAAGATATTTGATGATTTCGTTTTTCTATTTCATTTTTTGTTGGCTATTCAGTATTTGCATATTTTCTCTTTTACTGTATTGTCGTACTCCATTATATCTCCGAGTTGACTGAACATGAGGAGAGAGATATAAATTATCTCTCAAAGAATATAAGCATAATATGAGCGACTCGATTTCGACCTCTAAGGAAACCTGCCAATAATATTGGAAATGCACGGTATGAAGTTTGACTCTTTTCTATATATGTCTACACCAATTAATTTTTTAAACGAAAAAATATAATTTTGGAATCTGTAAAGTCAATTTAGTAATTTTGTTCTCACGGTGTACAGAATACATATCAAGGCTACATTTAATTCAGACAGATGGTAAGTGCATAAATATAAATAGATTCAGTGATTTTAGAAGAGTTAAAAAAGGTGCAAGCACATCCGTACCAAACCCATAATTCAGGTCATGATTTGCACAGATATTATTTCAGTTCCAAGATTGGTCTCAGTTTGATATTTCTAGAAATCAATAAATAGATTAAAGAACGGTTAATTGTGTGACAGTAGATGCGTAAGAAAGACAATTTCTCCACCAATAATTTCCTTAAATTAAACGACTCCATGATAATGTGCATGTATCATACCAATCCTTTTTTGTGTAAGGAATCGAGAAGCATGTTAGACAGCGGTTTCTTTGAGGTAAGCCTCAGTCAAAGCATAAAAAAAATCGAATCAGAAGCACGATCCTTTTTTTTGTATATGCCCTTGAGCCAAACAAAGATGGAGGAGATAATAGTTGAAACTGACTGGAGGAGATGGAGATAAGTGTTATATGATATAGCACACAAGGGGAGTCGTTGCAGACTCATCAATGTTTGGGAATATATGTTGTACCATTCGAAAGTGTAAAGGATAAAATCTTTTTGTTCACAACAAAAAGATCATGCAATCGGTTTTCGGCTCAAATCTGACCGAGGCAAGATTGAACCCAAGAAGTCACACCTAGACTCCCTTTCATTAGCCACACTCTAGAAGTACACTGCTTTCGATAGTGTCCATACATAAAGCTTGTCGATGAATGGGATCCAAAGCTGCTGAGAAATATCCAACCAAATTGTGAATGCTTTTACTTTTCTGCATGTTTCACCGAAGTATTCCCATCCGGAATATATTAAACACTTGTGGGCCTTGAAAGAGGGCCGTGGGGGAACAAAATTGTGGGCAGGGTCTTTCCCTCTAGGCCTCTAATGTAGACTTGACTATATTTTATAGTGGATTGCCCCTTTTACAGTTGTTCCCAAAGCGGTCTCACAACAAATAATGTTGGCAGCAACAAATTCTGGTGGACGTTAGTAGAGTTGTAGGAAATATTTGGACGTCAGCCCGCATGAAGCACGAGAAAGTGTCACCTCTAAGAGAACACTGTGGGGCCGGTGTGACATTCATATGCAGCACAAGAGAATGTCATTCCTTCATAGAGAGTGTGATGAATCATGAGTTTATCTTCCACGAAAGTTGACTCTCCAGCTGTGCTGTGGGGCCTCAAAAACTTTATGTGAGCTCAACTTGACGTGAAAACTACAATTCCAAGCACTCGATGTTCTTCGGCATCATTGTCAGAGGTGTACATATAACGAACGGAGAGGCACAACACCAATAAGAAGCACAACTTTCGTCGACTCACAAAAAGCGATCATCTCCGGTGTGAGCAAAGTTTAATCCGAAGCAAAAGGAAGCCAAGACCCGCAAAACCTGACGTGGAAACTTGGAGGAGCCGAAGCCAGATAAACACCAATCTAATTCGCACAGTGGATTACGGGGAACGCATTCCTGTTCCTGCTCGCTCGCGAAGCCAAAGAATCTTCATAACTCGCTGACATTAGGCGCGAGATGCCAATAACATTAACGAGGAAGCGAAGGCCGAGAGCTTGTAAGTCTTGTAACCGACTCCGGAGCCACAAGTCTGAGCCCAAGATAAAGTGCAGTTGAAGCATAAAGTTCAGAGCTTGAGCAAAAGCGCCCTCTCAGGAGATAGAGTAGAGGACCGTCAGGCGCCTGAACCCCACGGGTTGGGAGCCACTCGTTCCATCCAGGACGCAGGCTGCGGGGCTCGGCTAACCCGTGATCATAACCACAACCGCATGCGGACAAGGGACTTCGAGGCAGTGGCCGGCCACGTCGCTCTGCGAGGACCAATGGCAGCTGTTCCAACCCTTGGGAAATCTGAGGGTCGAAAAGGTCAGTTTAACGGACACTGGAGAGTGCAGTCATTGGCCACTGCGGGGGTCATTATTTATAGCAGATTTATAATAATCTCTGCGAGTTTCAAAGTCCTGGTGTCACCTCGTGCTTTCTGAATTTACGACTTTTCCTTTTTTTTGTTTGTAGAGTCCAACAAGTTATACCGAGAAAACTGGGCCGTATGAACCCGACTTGCTCCCCACAGTCCCGCCGGTCGACCCAAATCAGGTCAAAACGAACTCGACCAGAACTTTCTCCTCGCCCACTGCACACTATTCCTCCAGGTTCTGCGTTCTCGTTCTCTCTCAGTCCGGCCTCGCTACCAAGTGGACTATCCGAAACGCTTGTGATTGACGCCCTGGTTGACTACTGTATTGCCTCCCCAGAGACGCTACCCGGACCGTAGTT